ATCAAGCCATTAACCATCAAACTTCGCGCGTCTTCGTTTATTTGCGAAACGATCTTTTAATCGATGTGTATCATCAATATTATTTCATCCAATTTGTTCGTGCACCTAGATGATCTTAATTACGGCGTACTAGATATGTAATTAGAATATATAGATGTATTGCTAGAATGTGTGGATGAGTAATTGCAATATGTAAATGTGTAATTGGAATATGTAGATGTGTGATTGAAAGTGGATGTATAATTGCAATATGTAGATGATCATATATGGTTGAAATATATAAAATACCAGATGAAGAATTTCGACAATGTGGAAGATGAAACAATGTCAAGAAAAAAGTGTAGACCTTGATTTTAGTATGGTACTAAATCTAGGAATTAATTGGATCGTAATGGATGCAGCATAGCCAGAGAGGAAGAAAGAAAAGAAGGAGAGTATTAGAAGATTCGAAAGAGAGAGGAGGAGAAAGAGTAGCTGGGAAGTTATCGAAGCATCTCTTATTTGCGGTACGCCGCAGCTGCGGTCAGCATTATTATGCAATCAGACTATTAGGAAGTTGTATTATCGTAGCCCGCAAATAGGTTTATAAGGCGTTCCTCGTGGCCGCCGACTATAAATATTGATGATCTATCGCCCGGGAAAATTATTGGTTCGACGGTATAGCCGGAGCGCGTTTTCCTTCGTGTTGTTGGTCTTTTTTCGCGGATCTACCGAGACAGGGACCACGGGTCGTGTCCGGGTAAAGTCGACTAGGAAGTCGAGTCGATTAATCGCAATTGATACGTAAATCGTGCAACGCTCGAGTAAACGTGGATCACGCTCCTTGCCGGTACATTGTTGCATGGTATGTATTCATGGGGCGGAGCGGAATCGTGAGTCTCGTTAATGGCAGCGGAAACTATTCAATCCTTTACTCATCGAAGTTGCATTAAAATCCAATTTTTATCACAATGTTACATTATCATAAAATTAGACACTAAATTACAGGATCTATACCCGAGGTTCTTAGCTATTAGATTTTGTACCTAGAATCTATAATACACAGCCATTAAATCCTATTGTAACCGAAGTCAAAATTATAGGAGGCACTTTGACACCGTTTGAAAAATCCCCGAAACGATAAACCATTTTAATGGTGATTAAACGTTTACGCCAGCAATCTCGAAAATACGTGGGTCGATATAGTTGAAAGCTCGTTCGAGGTTGGCGAACGATAATTCTTGTCCAAACAAATGCAACGTTCCTCGGATGAAACCGATGTTTCAAAATAAGTCAGCGTTTGTTTCGCCGATGGCTGGTGAAACGACCCTCGCACCGCGAAGAGGAGGCTGGGGACGAAGGGTTGAATAAGTGAGATCGCTTTCGTCCGTGGCACGCGTCCGTGTTTTTTTCGAGCCTCGTTGAAAGACCGTGACGAGGTCCACCTGGTCATATATCGATGTAGCGGATCTAACCCTTTTAGCTCATTGCGAGTACAGATTGACGTGTTTATCGTGTAAGACGTCACGGTGAAAATGATATGACGAAAATGGATATATGTAATGAGACATCACGGTGAAAATGGATACCGCAACAGGACACCGCTGGGGAAAACGAGTACGTGTCGTAAATTTCAGAAATATGCAACATAGGGTTTGGCTAACAATCATGGGAGAGCTATGAAAGTTCTTTCAATTTTCAAACTTGTACTCAAATTTTTATGCATGAATTTTATTATCAACGGGCAGGAGGAAAATAATTATGTAAAGAACGTTTGACTCGTAAATGGAGAGTGTACCGTATCCGCCATATTTTCAAAGAACAACGCCGAAGAAGAAAGCACGTTAACTCTTTTCATTTCAGCATCTAAGGATTCCGTTTCGTTGGCCGATCCGCTTTGTCTCGCACGCACGCCTCCCGTGTGCAGCGAGCGCGGCAATTAGCGAATTCAGATTTCCAGCGATAAATTAAAGCCACGGGAGCACGAGTCGGCATGAAGCGCACGTGCACGCGTAACGCTATCATACATATATCCGGATACCTTGTGCACTCGGGACGCTCTATCATGCGTGCTAACATTCCGTCGCATCACGCTGTAATTGCGTTCCGTTTATCTTTAGACGCGGTACATACGCTTGCCGATAAAACCAACCGTTCGAATTCCCGTTGGCTTCTTGCCACTCCGATACTCGATCATTATCGTTCCTTTTCTGATCGCCGTTAAAAAGGATTATTAGGAAATCTTTGCTATGCTCTGACAGCTACAAAGATGCATTGTTCTTTTGGCACGTAGCTTGTACTAATTTTGACGCTGTACTCGTTAGTGTTTGTTGCAAGAGTAAAGGGGATACAGGGACAGTTGCATAGTAGACATAAGGGGTTGGAAACTTGAGAACGATCTAAGCTATTAATCTAGAATCTATGATTCTGGAATTTGGACACTAGGAATTTTTGAGGGATGTAGGATCATGGAAGTGTAAGATCGGAACTCTTAGGTCTAGGAACTCTGGAATCCAGAAATCTTAACGCGAGGCTAAGTGGTCCATGGACTAAGTGCCTTTGGACCTACGAGTGACTAATAGAAATAACGCCGCAATAATAAAGTAATTGGCACATTAATTACCATCGTCACATTCCATTACCGGGTACTAAATTTTAATAAATTAACAGTATAACTTAAGCCTTAAATCGGTAACTTGTTCCCATGTTAGTTACATTCGTGTTTGATCTTCGCGAGATAGAATCAGATCCATTTTCCTCCAGAAACCACGTGTCGGTCCTAATAAGTCGAGCAGCGATGAAATCGTTGGCGAATGCCATCTTTGCACCGTGTATCAATTAACGATCAACGATGTTTTTCGTTTTGTCGCCATTAGCAACGTGCAAGTTGCCAGTTAGTTGGTCGGAACTCTATTAACCGATACAAGGTTAATGTCGTCGCGATCATTACGAGGTACATAGTAATATCTGATGCAGCTCGTCGTCGAGTAGCTCGATAACGTGCTGGTAATCCACAACTTCGTTCTACATCATCTGTTAATTACTGCTTGTTGCTCGCACCCCGGGATTTAGCCGGACCCGATCATTTCAGATAATATTACGCCCGTTGATGGGAAAATGAACAAACTGGACGTGTTCAGACACGGTGGTTATTAATGAAGGCTCCTGGAGCTACTCGAGTTGTAATTAGCTCGACCGATGCCTCTGTACAACGATTATTCTTACGTCTTTTAGGATTTCGGTGATGAGATCCTGATGACACCGCAATTTATGAGCATGGAGGATATACCGATCGTGCGTTTATGATCGCAGGGTAAATCGAACGCGACGAGTTGCGAACTAGGAGTCTGGATTCTACTTCTATTTTATAGCCTTTAGCAGAGGATCCATAAGAAAATACACTAATAAGAAATTGCTGCCATGTCTTGCCTCAAAAGATATCGTATTTATCGAAATCCATATACATTTGAAAAATAAAGAGAAAAACGATGAGAGAAGATACAAAGAAGAGTGGTAGTTTCTATCGAGGCAAAGAAGAGAAAAAGCAGATACGAAAAGTAGTATCATCAACGAACGCAGCGATCTGATCCCCATTAAACGCTGCTACCACAAGCCAACAGTACATGAAATCGCGTTCCACGTCGATGCTGAAGAAGAGGTGGATCACACAGTGGAACGCATTGTACGTTTAACCGCGAGCTTCTTCGTCTTGTTAATCCTGTTCACGTGATCTCGTCGAAGACGAATCTCTTTCTTCGTTGTGTCTCTACACTTTATACTGTACTATACGGTATACAAGATCGTTCCGTTTCACGAGTACAAACGGCCGAGAGCTAGAGTCGAAATAAAACACGGATAAAGAGACGGCGTGAGAGGAGGGAGAAAGAGAAGGCGGGTAAGTAAAGCCGGTAAGAAACGAGCTACGATTTATTTGACAGATCGCACCGACCACGAGGAGCAACCGTGCTAGAGTGGTTTATTTTATAAGGCCAGATTGCCGGCCTCACTTCGCCGGAATAGAATAATGGACGTTTCTATCCCTCCTTTTGACCGAACGAGCCGGCCACCACCCCGCGGAGATCCCTTCTCCCTCTTGCTTCTTCTTCTTTCGTTCTTTCTGGCCTTCGTCTCGAAAGTCAAGTGCAGTTAAGGACCACTTTTCGTCGTCGACTATCCTTCGACCGAGAACGAGACCTTAAGCTCGACACTTTGCTCGTGCTAAGGTGACGTTCGTGGGAAGATCACCTCTTTTTATTCCAAACCATCTACGATGCGTCGATGGACTACTGAATTACCTGAGTGAACTTGTACGATCATAACGATAATGATTACGCTTATAGCAATTTTTGTAACAATTTTGCGCTAAACGAACTACTCGATTGTAATGGTTCTGATATATCGGTGTAACGTATAAAATAAAAATAAAAATCGTTTACAAACGATGCTCGATTGAAAGTTTGCCACACGAAATGCGTAGAAAATTTGGAGCACTTCCAAGATAGAAAATTTCCGACGAGTTCAACATTTTTCCTTGAAATTTGAACGAAACGAAGCGTGCACGTATTACCACTCTATCTACGAAAATTAAATTTAACGATTGTACGAAAGCATATCTGGAATCGTCATGTAACACCCATTAAAAGCGATGATTAATCTAACCCAGAATCGAATTGTAAATTTTTCTGTTGCATTCGAAATTACGAGGAATCCCGATGGAGTGTTCTTGTTTTTAATTAAACGTTGCCTCGTGCTAATGAAGGCCAGCTAATGATCACGATAATCGACGCCAGTTTAAAACGTGGAAAGAATGAGTCATTTAATCGAATACAGAATTCATTGTTACTTAACCTTAATATCTAATTGAAAATACAATTCGAAAGTCATTAACGGATTGTACAAACGAATCAAATCACTTCAGCGTTACGTCCGAGAAAAATAAAAGAAGATTGGTTATATGTCATTAATTTCTTTCTTTTTTTTTTTTATATAACTTATGTGTTATTTTTTTATTATTATTGTAGCGGATATACTGATCGGATGAACGATGTGCCCGTTTCCTGGCTAGCTTCCAGCAATTAGTTCCAGTTAAGGGTAAGCTATTCTGTTCTCGATTTACGATTCATTATTCGTTTAGAAAGGTACAATAATTATGAACTGCCATCTATTCTTCGCGAACGTTGATTCGACATTGAATTTCTGCCCTGCTGAGCGTCCTGGTTGGTCGTTTTAATCGCCATCGAAAAGAATAACCGTAATTAAAGCTGACTTGCGACCGGATGTTTCGCAAAAGAGACGCGTAATAATCGCGAGCATTAGGAATCGCCTCGTTCCACGATATAATCGTGCACGATTCCTCGGTATTTACTTTTCTTTTGTACGTTTACGAGCGAAGAAAGAAATGGGTGGTCGTTTCGGATCGATGTAACACTCCGATACGGTAAACCCTTCCTGCACGCGTATTGTACCTCCAGTTCCTTCTCGCGCATTCAACGAATATTACCATGCAAATTTGCATTCGATTAAATATAATTTATCGTCGAAATTTCGCACGAGAAACGGTATCACGTTTCCTGCAAATATGTTGCAGGTGGTGTCTCATCGTACAATTATTTTCTCCTAATCTCGCTCCGATTACGACAATTATGAAAGGCTCTTTCACGCCTCGTTTCCTATTACGTAAAATAAGTAGGTGCGGAGTTGCAAAAAGGCAAGAATCGATGCAAAGTATCGATCATCCCGATTAAGACGACGTTAAATCGAGAGCCATCATCGTTAAAGAATCGTTTTTTTTTCTTTACCTCGATATTACCGAGCAGATGATCGAGTTAAAGGGAAGAAAACATTGTAAAACTAATGGGCACTTCATTACGCGTGTGATTGATGTACCTCGCGAGCATTCACTTGGACGTGTCTCTTTAATCTGCCAGGCAACGCACGTCCTCGTCCATTAACCGGAAGCTACGAAACCCACGATCCACGCGATCACTTGCCCGTTCTAGCTGCATACATACGTACAGACGTAAGCGTAATTCATCTCGCGTGTATATTATCATTTGCGCGGCTCGATCCGCTCGTGTAAACACCGGAAGCGACGCATCGCTACTACAACGCGATAGAATCCGGTAAAATCGCGAGCGATCGCGACCTTTGCTTCTACCTTCGCTGCCAATCAAAGACCCCTTTCATTGCGAGTCCTTACCAAAGTTTTACGTTGCTTCAAACAATTTTAAGGGGTTTGGAAGAATTTCAGGCCTTCGAAATAAGGCTACTTGTTGCACCGATACATTGTTTTAAACGCGCGTACTTGCAATGTCAAGTCGATTAGATAAGAGATTCTCTGTACGTAAATCGTGATAAACTGCGCTATTAATTTGATCGCCCTAATCGTAGTTTCTATCTTCCAATTATTCGCGATCATCGATTAGTTCCTAACATCGTCTAATCTTCCTTAAACCCTGTTTATACGCATCGGCGCTAGATTTAAATTGTCCATATCTCTAATCGACTTATAACTATTCCGATCGCGAGAACATAATGCAATCTTTGCAAATCATCGTGGACAATAATAATAATCGAGATTAGAACAAATATCAATGTTGCCTCTCTGTCTCTTCTCTGTCGATCTGGAATCTGGATTAAAGAAGCTTAGCAAGTCGCGTCGTCGAGACGCGAGGGAAGAGATTAAATAAAGCCGGAATAAATTATCCTTCCCCTTTGTATCTTCTGTCTCTTTCTTCCTCGCTGCTCGACGATCTGTCTTCTTTATCGTCGACCGTTCAGACCAGTAGCCCGGTTAAACGACGAGAATTGGGGTAATTTTGCCGTATACTTTCCGTGCAAACAACGACCACCGAAATCTTACGGACCTCCGGGCTTTTCGAATTATCGTCGACAAATCTCTGATTGCCATTATTTATTACCATCGAGCGGCGAAATTATCAAGTTTGAACGTCTCGATACAATACAATTTAAACATAATTTCAGATAACTTTCTAATACAGAAAAATTTGAAATGGAAACTCTCAAATGAAATACGAAATATAGATCGTTGCGACGAAATTTTCCAGTCGATTGAGAAATATCCCCGACGGCGATAAAGTATACAGTCACGTAACAGACAGCGATACAATAAGACAGAGAAAGGAAGAAATGTTGTACCGCAGAGTTCAAAGGATCTATTATCATGCGTTAATATCTTTCCGCTCGAATTTCTATGGTGAACCATGAATCGATGACGGGACGAATACGCAAAGGTAAAGCCGGCTTGTTTCCGGTCGATCATCGATCGTAGATCAGCGAAAGCGATAAATGACATTCGCGATCAAGAAGAATGCATGTAGTGGTACGTCGAAATGACAAACGCGAGATATTCATGAGACTGATAGTCGCAATGTTTACAGGCTCGTGTTCCTTTCTTTTATTTTCTAACCTTTCGCCTATACCTGTTCGTTTTCTTCCTTTCTTCGCATACGACAGCTCGGAGTCTGGATCGATATCGACTTGCATGTACCTCGGGGTTGTTATCGATCTATCTACCATCATATACTAATATCTCTCTGCAGAAACGGTTTACCGATTCGTACGGAGAAACAGCGGGGCTATTAATCAATTTTTACAGACAATAAATTTTTCGCGTGCAAATTTTACTTTTGTCAAAGCATAGAGGTATTTTTCCCTTAATCATAGAAGTAAAATACAAAGATATTGTGAAATGACATTTTATAAAAAATAAAAGAAGTAAAAATCTCGTATACTTTTATGGAAGCGAACAAGGATCACCGTTTTAAAATTTCGATCAGGCCGGATTAATATTTCAGACGTAAATAATTAAGATTACAATAAAGACGCGTTAATATTCGAGCGATGATTACGTTACGCGTTTCAGCAGATCAATCAACAGTGTCAAGGATCATTCGGTTGAATTTATAGAACGCTGTCCGAGTGACGCACGAATTTTCGTCCCATACTCGCGCGTTTCGATCGCGAAATTGTGCGTCCGGGACCGGAAATGCGTACTCGGGACCGGAAACGTGATTTTCGCGCGTCAATCTGTCTCTCTTCCTCCCGTTATCTTCGCATCTTCGTTTCGGCGCAAAGTTCAAAATATGCAGCGATTTTCAAATATTTAAAACTTCGTAGAAAATCGATCTTTTAAGATGATTAATATTAAATGCATTTATACTAAAGGAAATTATATAAAATTATATTAAATGAAATATTTCGGTATTAATAGTAATTTTGCACATACTCTAAGTAGTCAACTTAAGCTGTATTTTATTAATTAAAGAGCACCTGTCCGGGCATTTAAATAGCATGCTAAATAGAATAGCAAAATAGTAAGTGGTAAAGCAATAAATTATTCTTTTATGCCGATACAACAGCAAGGTACTAAAATCAAATAATTGATAAGAAGATTGTACGACAAGATAATACGCGCGTATATATATTTTATTGGAAAGCTCCGCGTCGTTAAATATCGTAATAAAAGCCGCGAGACCTGTTCCGAAAGAAGACACGTTCCGCGTGATCGCTGCATCGATGATCAACAAACAGCGTCTCCCGCGAAATTGCGCGAGAAGATCGATTTTCCCGAAGCGTAGTAAATTTTCGCGCGTTGATCGAAGCGCAGCAGAGCATCGTACTCACCAGCGGCGATCGCCTATCCTTCCGAGAAAAGCTGTTGATCCCTTTTCTGGAGCCGTGGTTCTGGCTTTCCTCACTCGATCCGAGTCAAGACGATCCTCTCTGCTCGATCCTGGAATCGCGTGGTCTCCGCGGCGCGCCGCTCAGGAAATTCGCTTCTCCCGCGGAGGAAGCTGATTCACCGCGCGCGCATTCCTCCTGTTATTTCAGGCGAGCTAAGCGTCGTTATAAATCCTCTTGTTCGTTCCGTACTGGTCCCATCCTCTTCGCGGCGACTTCGAACACTTGACAGTACCGTCAATCAATTCCTTTCACCCCCGAACGCACTCTCTATCACTGAACAACCGAAAGTCACACTTCGAATAATCCAACGATCTCGTCGGCCGGTCCAGCACTGGGGGTTGCGAATCGAGCACCCTCGCGAGATAACACCTTCGCGGTCGAAAATGACTGACTGCAACTGCCGTCGCGACACTGACACCAACGGTAGATGCGCTCGAGGAAAGCTCGGGGCGAAGTGCCAGAAGAGTCGTCGCTTGAAATAACCGCTCGTCCACACGGGCTCCCTCCGCCAACCCTCGTTGCTTCTCGTTCCGTGCCCCACCATGTCTCCTTCGAGGCTGCACCGGCTAAAACTCTCGGCTATCCCCCACCAAACCCTCTTGCCGTGACTTTGAATCGTTCCATCCTCCTCCATCTCTCGTGCGCGTTCGTTAGTTTCCTCTCTCTGTTCGCCGCGCGCGCACGTGCGTACAGCGTCACGAGTTTTCGCGCCACTGACGACGCGACGCCGCGCCGACCCGCCGACTATGGAACACGCTTCATGGAATTTATTGCGCCGCTAATGGCAAATGGAAATGCTAACAGGGACAACGCTACCAGAGTAGACGCTACCGACGATGCACGTTCGAAAGGTTAGTGGACATTTACCGGTCAACCAATTTTTACCACCATTTCCTATCTGCAAGTCTCTGTAAAATCAACGACATATTTGAACAAGACCATTTTCCGTATATTGAACCCCCATTCTTGGGACGTAATTGTAAGCACTCGAAAATTATATATAATCTTGATTTCTATCACATTTTTTATTTATTTACTATACTTAATTTTATGTAATTCTTCGCATTCTGCCCATAAAGTTATTACAGCATAACAATAAATCAGTAGCGATTTGATGCCTCTTGAAAATCAAAGAACCGTAATAACTATCGTTGAAAGAATCTCGATTGCACGGTTATTCAGTGGGAAACCCTCGTTATTAAATCAGTAGCCGTAGCGATGGCTATCGATGGCTCGAAGATAGCGAGTCTGATCCGCTGTGAGCACAGTTACGATAACGTACGTAATCACAAGAATAACCGAACAGCCCGTGGCGTTGCGTCTTGAAAAATACAACGGGGTAGCTGGATCGTTTGACTAAATAGCTGATGGTGGTTAGGAAGTAGCGGCAGGTAAATCCGGATTCAGCAACCCCTATTTTTCTTCGGCGTCCTGCGTTTCTTCGGCGGAACACGTTTTAGACACGTGTTACTCGCCGATGCTTTCGAACACCGCAGCAACGACTCCCTTTTCTAAACCGTGGTATTGCCGGTTATTTATAGAGGGGAACGATGACTGGTTCAATCGCGATGACTGGCTTACACCTTGGGACTAATGTCATAGAAGAGCGTGTTGGCGGGTGTTGCGGCCTTTCAGCTTCGTTTTTTCATTTTAATAAATAGGACTAAAATTTCTGGTTCGTTATGGTGCATTTTCCTTCGAGGTAGCAGCAGTAAGATGTTAATGTTATTATCCTTCGATATCGGTGAAAAAAGCAGAAATTGCGTTTCAGTGAATATAGTATATGATTTGGCAAAATTGTAGGTCGTGTTCCGAACAATTTTAATCTTAGTAAATTAAATTTCATCGTGGTTGCCGCTGTCTTCGATTATGTGGCGATTTAAACGGCAATTACACTTCTTGCCCACCTTTCTCCGGAGTAGTCTTTATTGCCTCGAGAACCAGTTTCTCTTCTACAACAATGTAGAAAAATGGTTAATTAAGCCCTGGCACGAGGTACGTGCGGGCAAAAGCAGCTCGCAATTCATCTGTCCGCTGGTTAATCCCGTTAAAGAACCTCATAATTTACCTCGATGATTCACCGATTTATTTTTACCCCCTAATTCCAGGCTACGGATCGACGTAGGTGTCTCGTGATTTATCTGGGACATATTGAATGGAAGGGCTATTGCTATCCTATCTTCTACGTGCATTCTCTGTATCTGTTCTATCTAAAAATCGGAAATCGTTTGAAAATTGCTCGGAGAAAAGGAAAGATAGATATCGTTACATTCTCCCTATAAATTAACGCGGTGATGCATCTATAAATGGCAAAATGATACCGAGGAAACGTGTTATAGTTACGTCGAAATCGTGTACTGTCATTAGCAGTCCTCGTATGTTGCCGTGTATTTATTTACGTACATTCTACTTATACTATTATTATCCATAAATATATGATCCAATATTTTCTATTGTAACTACTATTATAATAGAATAAAGGAATAAGATTACGGTGCGTAGAATATGCAACATTTTATGTGTGTGGACTCGTCCGGAAATCTGAAACATAAATTAGACGAAAGTTGACTTAAAAAATCGCCAAAAGGTCCTTCTCGTCACTTGATACGTATCTTAACACCATCGGTATTGTTTGACCGCAGCTTTACGACTTCCAGCTGTTTTCGGTAGCCGCGAAGAAAAAGGGATGCAGAATCCTCTTCCTCTTTTCCTGTTTAGACATTTTTGCTCCCCATTTCCTAACATAACTTCTGATTTTAAAAAACAGTGGAATATCTTCCAATGTAATTTTTAATAATACAAATTCAGTAAAGATTTGACATAAAGATGAAATTAATTGCATAAAATATGGCGGGAGTGAAAGCGTCGAATGAAGTACGATCTGTAAATATTCCAAGAAAGGGAGGATTTCGAGCAACTCGTATCTCTCTCAGTGTGTCGAGCATATTTCGATTTTTTCCACCACGAACCGGTGTTTTTGGAAGTTCAGAAAAATCATTCGAGGAAACCACGAGGGAAACGAGGGGTCTAAGGAAAGGAAAATCTTTCAATGGGACTACTCGACTGTCATCGAGGGAGAACCATGAATTGTCTCACGCTGTTGGGACGTTACTTCTTCCCGTGGCTTTTTACCGTTCTTATTTTTCCAACGGGCCAACAGAATCACGGTTTCAGGAATCCGTGTACGTACACCCACGCTCATTTCAAATAAAATAATCGATGTTCGGGGTACCGGTGCTCTAGCGTACGCCTAACGCGACCCTGTTCTACTTAAAAAACTCGGACTGAGAAGATGAATGTCGAGAGAGATATGTTTTATGTTCCTATTATTTTCGTGAACACAATTATTTTTTATACGAATTCTATTTTATGAAAGAATGTAATTTGCTGAATTCTACTTCACATTGGAGAATAATTTCTAACACAAATTACACTTTTACGTTCAATAGGTTCAATTATTTTTACCGATAAATTTTGATGTTTGAAGAATAGCTGAGGATGATTGTATAAATACTCGTGTATATCGGATCGAATAATCGAAGTTTCACGAACGGTTCGATTCCAGATTAGAAATCGAAACAACGGAAGTTTTCGAGCCACAGAGCACTCGTGTTCAAAACTATCGAGAAACGTTTCGATTTCAGAGTTGATTCTATGCTCGAACGAATAAACACCGGATCCAGTTACTGAAAATAACTCGGAAAATTGATTGAATTCCTTGCGGGAGCTGCTAGTAGTATTAACGCGAAAACCCACGTTCTACGATTCCACTGAAAATTCATTCAATCTCGAACAGTTTTAAACTCGGTATCGCCTTACCAAATCAATATCTATTTTAATTTAATATCTAATTTATAAAACTTGCGAACAAAGACCACATTGGTACATGGAGTTGAATTTTTGCGCAGCCTTTATTGGCGTTCAATGGGAAGTTCGATATTAAAAACGATTATCGAAGAGCGTAGGCGAAGTGGCCACGAAGTGGTTCGCGTATTTCCAGCACGGTTCTTTTTCTATTCGCTTTTCAAGTGGTTCAACATCCGCTGTTAATTGCATCCTGCGATCGTTTCAAAGAACGTGCTTCACAATGAATTCCTCTGAACTTCTGCGATCATCGTATTTGCGCTCCAGATCATTTTCCCGACTGTTTTGATCCGAGATTCGTTGAACCTGTTGCTTGATTTTATCGAGATTATCGAATAACTTAATGGGCTTTTTCACAAGTTTTCATCTAATTCCACTTCAACGGATAATTAAAAAATTTCTTTACTTGATAGAAATTATGGGATCAGATTAACCACTATGATATTTAAATTTGATCTGTCAGTAGATAACGCGTATCTTCCCATAATTATAATTCCATACATGTCGGCTAAAGAAACTGCGATGAAATAATAGGCTACGTTCTTAATTATAGATATATCTATTACCCTTTTAACCATCAGAAAATCAATGTTCTCCATAATTGAGATCGGTAAAGTTTCCAGTCCGTAAAAGTTGAAACATGCCTTCCGATAAGTTCGTTTATTCGTTGTCGTGTTCAATTAAATGATCATTAATCGGGGATCTGTCGCATCGCAGAAACGCATTTTTCTTCCCCTGTATTTGACGCACAACCACGCGAGGTCTTCCGTAATTAAGATCATGGACTTAGCCTCGAAACAGGTTTCCCCGTTAATTAGTCGCGGTCTCAATGATTAAGTTTACGCGATGCTTGCCACTTGAGAGATTTCGCTGGATATTCATTTTCCCCGCTGGAATTTCAACAAGCGAAACCGATTAGCCACCCAATCGTGATGTATCGGAAATTAATTAACTGTATCTTTAGCGCGATAAACATCGTGGGGGTCATTCGTGACCGACGTCGTAAATTCTCTTCATTTGCCTTCATTTCTCCTTATTATTCTACTTACCCTTTGTGGTGTGCTTTTTTTCATTTTTTATAAGGATACTTTTTATAAATAAGTTAGTCGGTTGTTATAAATTGCTAGTAACGATCGAAGTTGAGTTTTCACCACCGGCTGGGGAATCTCGAGCCTCGTCTATTTTCGCGAGATTGATTGGCGCACGTGCCGACGCGAGTAACCGAGGATGACAATGATCATACTGTCGGCTACGATTTAATGAGCCATGAAATCGTGGCTGATTGCTGGCCACCAGACAGAAGAGGCTTCTAGTTCACTGACATTTTGCTAAAACGACGCGACTGGACGCCGCCGAAAGACAATCAAAAGAAAACACCATGAACGAAACTGTTGCATAAAATCTTATCATGATTTCATATATAAGCGAGATTTTTTATGAATTTTGATTTTATCATTTACACCAAGATGTAAATTGCGTAACCAAAGTTTACGTCACAGTCCAGGTATCTAAAATTAAGTTCAGCTTGCGGAATAGCGCGAGGTGTAAGTAAATCAATAAATTCCGTTTAGCAACGTCGAAATTCATTTGAATACATAAACGGAAGGATCGGCGTAAAAAGAAGCCGAAAGATTCTGGTGCAACTTCTTCCGGCGCTT